TTCTCGCCGGATCCTGAAGTCCTGCTGTGTTTTTTAAAGGAGCTGCCTCTCCTGCATCCCATCAGTCCTCCCCTCCATCCCCGATCCTCTGAGCGGCTCAGGCCTCGTTACCCTCCTCTCAGCCCCCGTTGAACCGCCGTCGGGCTTTTTCAAGGACCCACTTATGTGTGTGCGCATTCTTCTGTCTTTTAGTTTTGACATCGTCTTTCGGATTGGGTCAAAAAATCTCGCTGATTACGGTACGATGAGGAGGAATTTCGGGGCTTGTTATTGGACAGCTATATTTCATCAACATGGTTTCAAAGAAAAGAATCACCACCATCTAACGACACTCATCGCTGCCTCCATAAGCCCGCCTAACAAGACCTAACTGTGTTGCTGCAACTTCATTTGCAGTTGCTGAATGATATTTTCCTTCTAAAATTGTTGTAATTCTGTCTTCCCTGGTAGCGCGTCGATGATTATTCCCTCAGCTGCCTTATTGTAGCTCTTGTGACTCATATTGTTTGCAACACAACAGATAATAGTTTTATGTTTTTCCTCTGCCTGAGAAACTCGGGGGGTTTGATGCAGCGAGAAAGTTGCTGAGCTCGCAGAACAAGGCCCCGGGCACCGACATTAGTGATAATATACAAAATCAGGGAGACAAAGACTAATTAGTTGCTGTAGAGAGAGTGTGTGTGTGTGTGTGTGTGTCAGAGTGTGCGAGCCCGCTTTGGTGTTTGCGTGCGGCATAATTAATGTGCGTGAGGCTGTTTGTGTGTATGACTATGCTAATTTGCGTGTACTTGTGTGTCTATCCTTAAGTGGATGCTGCTGCTGGTGTGTGTGTGTGTGTGTGTGTGTGTGTGTGTGTGCAGGGGAGCAGGTGAGAGCTTTAAAGGCAGAATAAGTTGGGAAATTTAGATTCCATTAGCATAAAATGACCACAGTGTATCTGCCAAGTGTTCATCTGTGATACATTTGCAATGACTCAACAGTTACTTAGTCAAGTGGGAAGACGAAATTAAATGTCAATTTTGTCTGAAACAACATGGACATCCGCCTTGTACACGTGTCGCTCTGCTAACAAATCAGCCACACGTTCATATTTTGGATTTTGTTGTTTGCAGGGATACCTTTAAGAGGACCTTATTTCAATACAGCTGATGAAACGCTGCATAGTTTTAGTTTCTTGTTGTGCTCAGACAGCAGAGCAACACATTTTTTTTTTTTTGCAAAACAATCAGCTTTCCTGCAGAAGCCTCCTTATTATCTAACTTAGAAACACCGCTGACGTCGGTTTGCAGTTCGCTAATTAGCCGCTCGGCTGCAGCGCATTAAACGGCATGTAAATGCGCCTGCAAACGCCGACCCGTCAGCTCCACCGCTAACCAAACTACCTGCTGCTGACTTGTTAGAGCTACAGAAGGAGTTCACTCAGCTCAGCTCAGCCTTCAAAGAGCTGCCAGTCAAACACAGAAACCAACACGGCCCTTCAGTCAGCACAGACCTTTCTGATACTCCACTTTTTTTTATAATAATAAAAAAATACACTCTAAAGATTAGTGGCATAACAAGTGACCCAGTTCAGGACATTTTTGCAAAGACAGATGTAACCTTCCTCGGTGCCGATGGGTTGTTCTGACTCAGTGTTTCCGTTTTTCTCCGATGAGTTATCGAAACTAAAACATGGGCGTCGTGTGAGATACAAGTTCAGGTTTTATCTTAAAACAGCTGCAGATTTATTATTAGCTGCACAAAATAACAGGAGATTCAGAGCTATGTTTTAGTATAACTGTCAATTTAAAGTGAATTGCCATTAACGTCTTTGGAGTGAATAAACTGGACTGTGTAGCCTCGTCAGTAGGTGGCGCTGTAAGCTGCATTACACATGGCTGTAATAAACTGAGTAGAAGAAGTAGAAGTCGTAAAGAGGAAACAAATTCAGTCACTAAAAAACCTTAAAGACGAGGAAACAAAGAAAACTTCGGCCATTTACACCAGAAAAGTTGGAGAAAATTCTTGTTAAATTTTTGTTAAATTGGAAAAAGTTGTAATTATTCTTTTAATGTCAGCTGCTATTGAACATATTTAATGTTCAGATGTGAAGACAATAAAAGAGCAGAAGCAGCTATATGAGTTAAAAGTTTGCTACATCAGAACTTGTTTAAAAAAAAAAAAAAAAAAGTTTTCCATTTCCTATTTTTTGCAGCAACTCTTAAAAAAAAAAAAAAAAAAAAAAAGTCAGTTCATGTAGAAATAAACATTTGCAATTTTTCAGATGTGAGACTTCCAGATGTGCCTTAAAATAGCAGCCTGTAGTTAACTTTGGGGTAAAAAAGGAAAAAGAAAGTAGAGAAAAATCAGACCAATACTGCAGCAAAACAATCTGTTGGACACTAAAGTCAAACCACTACTGCGCTACTTGGACTCTGAATTTAATGTGTACAACCAATACATCAAAAACACACTGAAGCTATTCTTGAAGGTGAAAAGGAACGATTAGACGTGATTTCAGTCTGTTTATGGTCTTAAACGAACACTTTGTGCAAATTTCAAATGCTCAAAACAAGAAGACATCGCAGAAGGCAAAACAGAAATCAGAGTCACTGCTAATTATGGGCTGTCACAATACGACCCCACTGATTAAAACACCTCCGACGGTAACCGTCAGGACTCACAAGAAGCCGCTAACCGGTTCTGAGCGGGATGATCCGTCACCTGGTTTACAGCCTGATTAATGAATCCACTGGGACGACCTCTCCTCGGCGTCCCGGGTTCAGCTCCAGGTCACTTCCTCCTTTCCCTTCCACCTCTTGCTGCTTTGTGCTCTTTGATAACGCTGAGATGCTATAAAAATATTTCCTCTGTCGCTGTCACATTGAGGCTTATTTATAGCGACAGCCAGCTTAGTCTGTTTTTAATAATTCACACGGAAAGCTAAAATTCACGGTTTGTCATTCCCGCGTCACAGTGTGAATTGAACTCGCCTGTCTGGTGGCTTCATCACCGGATTCAAATTTTTTTAAGCCCTTCCCTTAAACACACTCGCTCTCCAGCAAACTTGTTTGATTGCCTCGGCGAGTGTCTGTGGCAGCCGCACGAGGATCTGCTGCTCAGGACAAGAATTACTGAAGTTCTTGAATGGTGGAGCATTTTGAATTTTCATTCGTCTCCTCCCTGTTTCCTAACACGACTTGCACTGACAACGCATGACAATCTGCAAATTCTCCACATTCCCTTGTTGAGCAGAAACAGGGGGAATTACACAAGATGACCACATAAGTGACAAAATGAGAGATTTAAAGGTGTCCTGTGGAGTGTTGGACCACAAGTAGCAGCCCTGTGGAGCATGTTTTTGGGAGTTAGTTGCACTCAAGAATGCCAGAAGTAAGAGGGCCAAGGAGCCATTGGTGAATGCAATGGTGGATTCACTGGGTGGCTCATTATACAAACGATAGTCGTCCATTTCTGCGATCAGAAGCCACAAACAATGAGCTAAATCAAAATGGAAGACGACACTTGGAGGGACAGGATGTTCTGTGGTAAACTAGTCGTTGGTGACGTGAGGCTCCTGCAGGTTTGGATAAGCTGAACGGAGACCATCACAGGTTCAGGTGGGTCAAGTCAAAGAGTGACTAGACACTGTGAGTCATTAAGAAATTAAGGAGACATTGCAGTAGACCAGGAAGTGTCCACCTTGACCTCCCCCCTTTCTGTCTGTCACTTAAATGGCTGTCTCAGGTGGTAGAGCAGGTTGTCCTCCAATCGCAAGGTTGGCGGTTCGATGACCCGCCCCTCCACAGTAAAAGTGTCCTTGTGCAAGACACTGAACCTGAAGTTGCTCCCAATGGCACCTTGCATGGCAGCTGTGTCGCCATTGGTGTATGAATGGGATCTACTCTAAAATGTACGTCGCTTTGGAGAAAAATGAAACACCACCACTGGGTGATAGACAGAGATAGATAGAGATGTCTTCAGCCAACGTCACACGTAGGAATCGAGGTTGAACCTAGTCTGAGCCTTTATTTACATCCACTGTCATACAGGCGTCAGAAAGGACGAGCAAAAGATGTAGCGGGATACAGCGCATAAAATACATAAACCCCTCCTGGAAGACATTAAGGATAAGTCTTCGTCATGGTGCCCGTTGCTAGCTAGCCTCTCACAGTTCCAACATAAACTACCTGTAGTCCGAGTGGCCATTAAACAGTAAGAGGCTCCACCTGCTGGCTCAACCAGGTACTACAGCTAATCTACAAAACACTGTCTGACATGCATGTAGTACATAAAGGCTTTTTGGAGCTTGTGTACATGAAGAAATGTGCATTTTTCTGATGCGTTGCAGAGGTTTCTAGTTGTCCAGCATATACACTGTTTTAATTTTAATAACGTTAATGTACCGGAAGTGGGTGTTGTCGAGGAAAATGGTATTAGATTGGGTCTCGGTATTGGCAGACACTAAATATTAAATTATTTGGATCAGGTTGGGGCTCTATTGGATGGAGTCTCCTCTGGCTAGCAATAATCTGCATTACCAAACTATAAAGTAAGCTACATCAATCACACATCATTATCTCAATAACCCACCGTACAAGAGTCGACCATAACAAAATGCACACATCAGTGAAGTTGGTGCATCCGTCGGACACAATGAGATCTAAAGCGGAAGCTGCTTTGCATTGCTTTAAGAGTTTTTTTTCAGTCATGACAGCTGATGACCACAAGACTTTTTCTAGACAAGAAGAAAGCAGTCGTAGAACCAGACGTAAGACCTAATGTGTGCTTTCATATCCAGCAGGTTCGGACGCTGTAACGCTCTCCTGTTCTCAGTCCACCCAAAAAAAGCTTGAAGTCTGTGACAACTGATGGAGAACTCCGCTGACCAGGAGCAGGAAAGGAGACGTCACTCGGGTTTTGAAGCTCTCACATCGGTTGTCTGTCGGTTTCGGTATCGATTTCAAAATTCTCCTCCCCGTCTTTAAAGCACTTCACGGTCTTGCACCAATCTGCTCGTCTGACATGTGTTCAATCTGTGAACCAGGACGATCTCTCAGAGAAACTCTTTTAGGTGTTCCAAAGTGCAAGACGAAAAGTTTTGGTGAGGCGGCGTTTCGTTTTTACGCTCTGATGGAGGATTTTGTTCTGATTTTTGACACCTTAAAGCTCAAACTGAACACCTAGTTCTTCAGATTATATTAATTTTAACGTTTTTATTTATTGTTGTTCCCTTTTAATGATGTTATTTCAATTTGTCTATTTTATTTAGTTTTATAATGAATGTTGCTGCTGTTGTCACACTGTTGGTTTTATTATGAATTTTACAGCATTTTGTGCATCCTGGTCTCAGATTTGTTCATTTTTTTTGCCCTTTAAACTGTGATATTAGCAGCTTGTCTATTACGTATGAAGCTCTGATCAGTACCAAAGGTGCTCTACTGAGGCTACAGCACGTCTTGAAGCTGCTTTGCATTCTGGTTTGTTGTGGCTGCTGCTGATGGACCTGTTTGTAATGACTGACTCCAAAACCTGATCTATGCTCTGTTTTGGATTTTTGCAGAGCTGCTGTGGTCGGTGTGCTGTGTGTGCACCGCTAATACTCACTCTGTGGAGCTGTTCTTGTGGTTGTGTATGGGGGAGATGCAGGGTGGGAGCAGCAGACAGTCTTTATCCAATCGCAGCTTCTTATTGCAGTTGACCGATGACTCTCCGTGCTCCGACTGGGGAGATAAAACGCAGAGATGAAAGGGAGTAAAATGCAGGGACTTTTATGAGGAGAATTTCAGGAGGAAAATCCTGTTTCACACCTTGTGTTTCCTCTTGCTCTTGCTGGTGTGCTTCTCGGTTGGAACCACCATGTTTGCAGCCGCCTGCCTCCTGTGTTTACCTCCGTTCTCTCCTCTCTCCGTCCTCCCGGCCAGCCTGGGATTACTCTGCTCCTGCACCGGGGGGTTGTCCAGGACCCCCAGACCTTGGCATATCTTCTCCCTGTCCCTTGCCGCCGTCCTCTCCCTCTCCCCGAATCTCTCCCTGTCCTCTCTATCCGTCGGCCTCTCCCTCTCTGCTAATCTGTCTCTGTCACCTTGCCTCTCTCTGTCCTGCGCTAATCGCTCATTTTCTTCCTCCTGTCTCTCCCCTTTAGCCAGCTTCTGTCTCTCTCTCGGCCCCGGCCAGTCCCTCTCCTCCTGTTTCTGTCTGTCTCTCTCCGCCACACCTATCCTCTCCCTCTCTCTGCCTTCACTCCCGTCTCTCTCGGTAATTGCCACCCTGGATCTGTCCCCCAGCCCCTGGCCAGGCACCCTGCTGAGCAAACTCAGGTCGATTTTCACCCATAAGCTCTGGATCTCATGATACTCCCTTAAGGGGGAAAGAGGCACCTCGTGTCCCATGTTGGAAGGTGGCGACATGGACTCCAGGTCTTTACTTTGTCCTCCCAACCCTCCAGGATCGGGGACAGACGTACCGAACGGACCACTTATGCTGCTGATGCTCAGGGAGTTACAGCTACTGCTGCTGCCATTACTGCCGCCGCTGATGCTACTATTACTACTGCTGCTACCATTAGTGGTCACGTTGCTACCATCTTTGACTCGAAGTCCTTTCCCTCCGAATGTTCCCAGACTCCCCACACTGCCGGCCGAGCCAAGGCATGGGAGGAGAGGCGTGTGGATGTGCGTGTTGGACAGAGTTTGCGTGTTAATCGCAGAGCGTGTCGGCTGAGGCGGCAGCGCCGGGATTTTGATGGCTTCCTCTGTGTCCGACTGGCATTCTGACGAGGAGGAGGAGGAATCTGTTTCGATGAATTCTCTGGACTTGGGTGTGATTCTGGTACTGGGACCTCTGTGTTTCCTCTTATCCTATGTATCAGAACAATGACAAAAGAAAAACGTATTTTCAGAAGAAGTACTCATAATAAATCGTACGCTCCGACGTACAGCCGTGTAGAGAAGGCCCATGTAAAGCCCACATCGTTTATCTTCTCTCCACTTAGTCAAACACTGAACCCCCACTATGATAAAAGAAGCTTTTCATCTTCCATCACACACGATCTCACTGAAGAAATCTCACTTATGTGCCATCGACTGATGCACTTTTAAACCCCGACAGAAAAAGAACCCTGCTGTAGACAAACATTTTAATCAAAAGCTAAGCGTATACAGTGTATTACTGAATGTGATAATATCATGCAAATTAGGCGGCACAAGTTGCCAGCTTGTTCCACTAATCTGTGAAGTGAATTGAAACATGTTTGACTGTCTAATTTTGAATGTCAGCGATATTCGCTGCACACAAGTCACACAGCTGAGCACAGGCAGTCTGTTTGTCACATGCAAATTACAAGATGCATCTCACATTTCCTATTCGGAATCATTTCATCGACGCAGTCGCACAGTTTGAAAGGAAAACGTGCAGCTTCATCGCACTGTGGATGAGCGAGCGTCCACCGAAAGTGAATGCGTAGTGATGATGAAATTATAACAATGACAATACTCACAGTTTTACGAAAATGTTTCAGAAATTGGTTAAAAATAGCAATAAAACAGCAATAAAGCCTTAAAATTCACACAGATATGAAAGCAGAAAAAAGTCACAAGAGATATAAAAACTGTGATCGATTTATCAAATGTGGATATTCAGTGGTGATTGCTGTGTAACAAGTTTTTATTTATTTATTATTATTATTATTATTCCAGCAGGGCAAAACTGGGAAAAGTGAGCTTTTGAAATGCCTGCAGCAATGTGAACACAAAAGTTTCACAAACATACAGATAAACTCTCTGAACCCAAAGTAGTTTCTGTTTTTTTTTTTTTTTTTTTACTGCAACATAAACTCCTGCACCTCTCTGGAAGCAGCACAACCATGACTAGAAGTAGAGAGAACGTGAATATTTTGTGCCGTATGTCGACGCTTTAATGGCCTAAATCATACAAAAAAAGAAAAATAAGTTAGACTTCTTGGATTTTTTGTTGTACAGGAATTGCAAAAACCTAGAATCAGTGTTTTAAATGCTCAAAGGTTTTTTACCAATACTAGTGGAAAAAAGGCAGCTCTACAAATTATAGATATTTTACAACTTAGAGTCGTACAAACTAAATGTTTTTCACTCGTCTCTGCAGCTCAATCAGGATGTTTCACCTGCTGAATTTATCTTCCAACAACTTGTTGACTTCTTGTTAAACGGTGAACCACATCTTAGCCATGCAGCGTTCATTGTGCTGCTCAAATAAGTACATTTTTCTCTCTACCTCTTTAAACTCTTTCCATACTTTTCTCTCCCATTTGCTAAACACAGCCTGCAGTTAACTACCTGGATGTTTGTCATGTGACTGTTGGCTGCAGCAACGAAAAACGGCTTCTTCACAGAATACTAGTTTGTTTTCTGGTCCAAGTTTTTTATTTTTATTTTGGGCACATTTTTTAACGACAGGTGTAGATTATTAATACTGAATGCGAAGAAAAATCACAATTTTAAGCTCAGATTTGATTAATTTTCCAGACATTTTCCAACATATCACACATGATTAGTTCAAAAGCTGAAGGAAAGTTAAAAATCAGATTTTGTTTTTTTCTGTTTTTACAGTTTCTGGCTCTGATAAAAGCTGTAACTTTGGCATTTAATTAAAAACATACCATGCTATTTGAACCTGCTGGCGGGTTTTTGGGGTTCAGATTGCTACAGCTCCACCTTTGAATTCAATTTTACGACTTGAATAGAAATCATAAGAACTTCTCCTTCTTGTTTTCTTGCCTGAAATTCATTTTTGCAAATTGGACAATTTAAATTATACATTTGACATTTTATAATAACGTGTTAGTCTCCATCTATGGAGCTCTGGGCTGAGTCCAGTTTGTTCCTGCTGAAGACAAACTAAATCAGCAGAGAAATGTAGGTTTTAGTCACTCAAAGAGGACAAACTTTTTGGGGTCTATTTTCATGATTATGGATTGATACACATTTGGTTTTTCTAGTGAGTGTTTACAGCAGCAAAATATATTATATTGTGGTTTCGGGCAGCTGTGGAGGAAAAAGGTCTCCAGTTATAAAGACAATAGTTGTCAGTAGCAGCAGCCGAATGTTGGTTTGTTGATTTGTTAACAATGAGGAAAATATCACTCAGGTTTATGTTTTAAGAAAAGAAACTGACTTCTTGTTGTCTGCGTATCATCAATTCAACATCTTGGCAATCATTGTTCTTCCCTCTCGTGTGAACAGCGTGCCAGCCGACAGAACCAGCCAGAATCCCCACAGACAGCACCTGCATCTCTGGCCTTGTCTTGTTTCCAATCAGAAGTGACCCTCTGATGTGTGAATGCTTAATTTTAGACGCGTACTGATCAATTATCCTCAGCCGAAACAAAAGGGAAGCGAGGAGCAGCTCTGTCTGCGCGACATCAATGCGGGAAGACGACTACAGAGGCAGATGCAGCGAAGAAAAGCGCCGCGAACGTTCCCAGTCTTCAGCAAAAACCCACTCGCTTGGCAGACGCAAACTTCTGGAAACTCTCCAATGCATGTTGCCATCTGCAAAATCCATTCTCAGTAAATGCCATGTTGTGTTTTGTTGAAGAGGGAAAAATGAAGACGGTGGTGGTGGTGGTGGTGGGGGAGACTGTCCCTTGTATAATGCTTATTTACACTGCTGGAAAATGTTTTGCCTTTCTTGAGTAAAAGTCCTGTTTTCTGGAAAGTTCACCTCTTTCTCGCTGTTGACATTAGCCGTCCTTCCAGCTGTTCTGCACAGCTAAAGCTGGCACAGGATCAAACGGTGTGACAGCACTCGCAGCACCGCTTGCAGATGTTCGCGCTCATCCTGCTTTCCAGGTAATTTAAGGAAGGTTATATCTCTTAACAAAACAGGGGAACTTTTCAGCTGCGCCGTCTCGAGTTGTTGTTGACAGGAGGCGACGTAATGAAGCTCTACATGCATATCGGAAAATACTGAAGCGTTTACATCAAGACGCTCTATGTACATTTAAATTGTCTGTAATGACTCTTTGTCATCCAGGTCGGGGTGCAGACAGGTGACAAATTAAAGGAAAATCCACTTTAAGTGTCCTGGTAAGTGGTTGGGCCACCAGAACGGCTCCAGTGCTCTTTGAAATTGACAATTTTGTATTGATTAGCAGCGACTCTTCCTTCTAACGGTGGATCCAGAGCACGTCAGCAAAATTCTCAGAGCATAATGGAGCCATCAGATCTCCTCGCTGTAGGGGTCGAAGGTTTAGAGTTTTCCTTTAATTTGTCCCCGGTCTGTATATTGAAGTCCCACAACGAAGGCAGCTCAGCTAAAGTTTCTTAAAGATGTTTTACCTTTCATCTAATCTGGTGGGAAGTTCCAATTACTTAGCAGCTCTATGAAAACAGCAAAAAAAAATATGTATTTGTGTAATATATCCACGTCATAATGCCATAAATCATAGAAAAAGAAAAAAGTTGAATTTCTTTGACTATTTGTATTAAGAAAAAATAAAAAATAAAAAATCAATATTTTAAGGTGTTACCTATACTGGGAAAAAATGGTGGATCTACATGTTATAGGTATTATTCTAGTATTTTCCCATTGCTCTGATGTTTCACCATGCAGAATGTGTCCTGACAACCTGCTGGTCTGCACACTGTGTTTCTGACATGACACATTTATTTTATCTACTAAGTATGTTGTATTTTTCTCTCTGTCTCTTTATGTTGATCACATCCAAAGCATAGCAGAGCTCCCAGATCTCCTCGCTGTGGAGGTCAACGATTTAGAATTTGTCTTTGTTTCGTCGCCTGTCTGTAAATCTAAACGCTAAATCGAAGATAATTCGACGTAAGTTTTACCTCTGATCTGGTGGGAAATCCCAGTTATTTAACCTCTTGTAGAGTTTTTAGTCCCTGATGTCACATGTGAGCCACTGATCCACCTGTACGTCAACAGAGTCACCTGAGAGACTGCAGACTGGTCCAGGTCTTCTGTTATGGTCTTGTAATTGTTTCCTGTTTAATTTTGTAAAGATCTTCGTCCTTGTGCGTCTCTTACTTCCTCCCTTCTTCTCAGGTTCGATTGCTTTCACTAGTTTCACTTGTGTCTTGTCTGCCCAGTCAGTTCTGTCTGTATCTATAGTCTGTAAACATGTTAGTTTGTCTTGTTCACTGTCCTCCTGTTTAGTCTCCAGTTTGCTGCCTTGTTGCTACATCTGGATTAAACGCCTGTTTCCTTTCTGTTCACCTGATTGTTCCAGACCGACTTCTTCCTCGTGCTCATCGGGTCTGTATGTTTGGGGTTTTCTCTGGATCTGTTACTTTAGATATTCACTTTCACAGTTTGGAGGACTTCCTGGACCTCCAGCTGTTTTTTGTTTGCTCTGCTGACATCACGAATTACAACCTGTTGACTAAGTTTGATTAAAGTTTATTTTGTACTTTCTCCTGCCTGTTTGTGCTTCCTGGTAATCCTGTGACACCATAATGCTGATTTTAATGACACTATTTACAGTATAGGTGTAGCTATAGGTATACCTTCTTCTACCAACAACCTACACAGCTTAAAGTTTCACTAAAACGTATAACCTTCCTTAAATGACCCGAATAACAAAACGAGCGCGAACATCTGCAACCTGTTGTGAATGTTGTAACACCGTTTCCCAACAAGTCAGTCAGAACTAAAGACGCCTTTGGGATGAGAGGTGGAACGTCTTCAAGAAACTCATCTGAAGGCCTGTTCATGGTTTGTGCTTCTCCTTATGCTGACAAACGCAGATTTTAAAAGCGGACAGCGGACGTTCACGTGGCTCTAATTATACAACAATGGGTCACATGTATAATTATGTATAACTTGTAACACACTTCTGAAGTGTTTGTTTATCTTTGCTTTGCAAACGTCCCCGCTGTGGGATCATTAAAGGCTTATCTTATCTTATCTTATCGGGCCCCACACTGAACACAGAAAACCCACTAGACTCCCATGAACGCTTCTGAACAGCTCTGACTTTGCATTTTTTCAGGAGATAGCAGATTATTTTGTAGCATCGCATCAACGTGATTATTGCTGCGGTGCCCAATGAGTAGAAGTAGGACAGGATATCCGGAGAACTTATCAACGGTGTCGATGAAACCTGTTAAAGCACCTCAAAAACCCGTCAGCAGCTTTAATCACACCATCGTACAACTTTTTGCCACGTGGTCCCTTACAGGCAGGTAGAAGCAGGAAGCATGAATCTGCGTTTAGATTTAAATTCATCCACGTTAGAGGAGCAAGATGAGCAGAACGGTCGTCTGTTATTTTTTTGCTCCTGAAGCCGATTATTGTTGGAAAAAAAGGCAAAACACAACATGTTGATAAGTAGACGCTGAATAATTAATTATATGTGTCGTGAGAACAAATTAAAAGTCGGAGCTCTGAATAGCTGCCAGGTTGGTTTGAAGCTCGGATCGCTGACGTGGAAGGCGTCGGGTCGGATGTGTCGCACCGGGTCACATCTCCGAGCCTGGCGTCGGGCTGTGACAGACGAGCTGCTGTTTGCTAGTTATTGCAGTTTTCCTTGTTTTAACATCAATGACAGCTGTCAGAATAATTTCCTCAAACCGACGGCGTAAAAAAAAAAAAACGGAGAGGAAATTTGTTTTCAAAGCAAACAAAGATAATGATGTGAGGCACCTGTGTCATAGAGATCAACAGAAATCAAAATGTGGCATATCCTAAGAAAAAAAAAGATCCTCCAGTGTGTTGTGTGAACTGATGTTGATGTCTTTTGTTCTTCCAAAGACGAGTGCATATATTAATCTCTCTCGCACATCAACCCTGCTCCAGTTGTCTGGAAAGTTTTTCTCTCGAGTTACACGAGGTCAACATTTACTGGATTTTTCCTGAATGCAGGCTGATGTTCTTTAGCCTGAGTTCACCCTGTTGGATGTATTCAGGGTTATTTTACTTCCTTTACATCTGAGCTCTTATCTTGGTTGGTATAAGGTTCGGTCACACATGCTGCACCTTGTTTTGCTCAGAGCAGTCTCTTCGATCCAGATCTTTCATCATCTAATTGAGCTTCGTGTTAGTTCAGACAGGTACGGAGTCAGGGTGTCACATGGCCCCTCCTGTCCAATCGTCATCGCTGAAGTCCAGCTCGCCCACTTAGCTGCTTTATAACTGAGGCAGCGTTCATTCATTCTGCCCGCTTCACGCTCAAATCTCAAATCTCCTCCTCCTCCCCAACCACCACCTTTTAAAAACAGTTCAATCTCATATAACCCCGTGTTTTCCATATCGTGGGATTGTAGGTTGCAGATGGTTCATTGTTGTACCTTGAACTATGTAATCTAGATTCTGTAAGTGAAGACTATTTAGTTGGTCTCCTTGTTCTCGTGTTCATACCGTATTTGAAAAATTGTAAATTGTAAATTCATGGCTCTGCGGGGGGTTTGTGATCTCAGGGATTATCTGTGTCATGCTTCCAGAGCATCACGAGCAGAGTCAAACTAAATGTATGTGATCTCAAATAAATGGTTAAAATCTGACAAAGTGTCCTGTCTGAAATATGATAATAGCGTTCATATCAAGGAAAAAACTTGGATCGTGAACATTATTACTTGCATCTCAACATAAAACTGTGGAGATATTTAGTTATAATCTGGGAGCATCAGAACCAGAATATATGTGCTTATTGCCCAACAGAAATAACTGTCATTACAATCCAAACTGACAACAACAGACTGAAAACAGCTTGTTTTTTCCCAGGTTGTTAAATGCACCCCCTTTCCCAAAAAAACAAGAAAAGACTGAGGACTCTGGTTGGTGAAGTTCAAGACCCCCCAGCCTGCAC